ATTACAAAGAAATTTAGTATATTATCAATTAAACTCTATTTAATATAATTATGATTTAGAGTCAATATTTTACTCCAAACTATTGATTGAAAAAAGGACCCATTTACATTTAAAGACTAAGCGCGCTGCAGGCTAAAAACCAATGGGTCTGAAATAAATTTGTTTTGTTTAAAAGTAGGGGTGAATATCTTCCGAATACAAGCATGCAATATATTTAGTACTTGATATAAAAATTTTTAAATATAATTTTGTAAACTAAATACTTACCTAAACACTCAAATACCTATACTTTAGTACCTTGGGTTAAAACCTAATTTTCAGAGTTAAGATGTTATTAATAGCTATAAAGGGAATCCGCATGAGACTCTATTGCTTGGAGCACCGTAAACTTTATTAGAAATGGGGACAAAATTTCTATCCCTCACCATCAAAGCAGCAGCAATATAAAACTTAAGCAAGAATAATCCATACCGAACATAGAAACACACCGAATTTATTGTTCGCATAAATAGGAACAAATGTTATAGACACAAAGATGAAAAGGGGTCATACATTGCACAAGGCACCATCAGGTTCCTTTCTGATTGACATCAAAGGAAAATTTCAACAATGGATGAAATGCCTGAACTTCCTAACTAACGAAAAGTAGTAGAAAGAATGTACCTCCAAGGGATTCCTTGAAAGGAAAAACTATTAGTCAAAGCAGCATTGTCAACAAGCACTATTTCTCTATCTCAAGCAACTTACTGTTCAGCAGTTGAGCTTTTGTGTCCCCCAAACCATAGAAGATAGATCATTCAAGACAAATATGTAAGTTATTGGAACAACCGAAGAAAGTTGTTTGCATATGCCTTTGGCTTGACATCAGGATGAGGCTGTCATTCACAAACAAAAAGGTATTGTTACAGAGTGCTTTGATGTGCAATTTGAAAGTTTAAAAAGGGATATCACAATGCAAAGGTACTCACCACCGCTGAGGATGTAACAATGTTTGGATTCAAATCAGGAGCTTCATAAGGAATGAAAGCACCCTTTTGCTCATTTGCAGAAACAGATTGCAGAACCATGTTAACAACTATATCTAGAATCATAATAACAAGTGTAGTAACTAGAAAAGGAATGAATAACCAATAAGTTTCAAGGTTAATATGGTAAGCCAATAGTTTTCGTTAATAACCCAAAAAAAAAAAAAGGGAACAGTTCTGTAGCAGTCATACTACTCCTAAAAGAAACACATGAATCTAAACAAAAAGCTAATGAGGTTAGTCATGTATTTTTTTCCCCCTTTCTTCTTATAGTCAAGTTTCATTGTTCTTTACTATCTTGGTTATAAACTAATAAAACATAGATGCAGGAATTTCATAAAACTCAAAATATAAATAATCATGTTTGGTCCTAATAAAAACAATTGTACACATAGAAATACAATTAGTTTATCTTGGTTATAAACTATAAAAAAGTAGGGGGAGGGGGGGGGGAGGAGGAGGGGAAGCAATTGATTCTATCATCTCTGACCTCTACTGCCCATTTCCCATTCCGGTACGGGATTCAATGTGAAATTCTTGATTCACGGGAGTGGAAACTGTTACTTTTTTAAAAAATAAAATAAAATAAAATGATGATCAAGACTTTCACTTTCTACTCGAACCCGGTGCTCATAAATAAATAAGCAAATAATGAGAAACACTCAATTTGGGAAATAGAATTCGTAGGAAGAAAGCACATCACATCAACTCTAACATGTTGTGTTCCTTTTTCGCACTGGACTACTTACTGAGGAGGTAGGCCACTTCTAAGAAGGTACTGCTCTCGGACAACTCCTCAATTGGGTAGTCTCTGTATCGAAGGATCCCCTGATCCCCATCAATATAGGAAATTGATGAGTGTACAGGAGCTGTGTTCAAATAGCCAGGGTGATACATCTTGAGCCCCTTGTCATCCTTCCCGGTCGTTATCTGTAAAAACAAAAATTCAACCCAAAATGCCCAGAATTGGAATATATAAATTCAGATCAGAGAAATCAAAAGGGAGGTTAAATACAGACCTTCTTCAAATCAACCACTTTAACGGTGCCTTCTGCGGAGACGGGGACGTGGCACTTCTTATCAGTGCGTTCGTCGACGATGGTCAAGGAAACGCCAAGGGAGGCGGCGGTCTGAGCAGAGACGCACCATGGCTCAATGATCGGCGGAGAAGAGAGGTCGGAGGGTGGCGGTGCTGCTAGATGAGCACCGAGAATGGCCAATAGCCGTTCACTTAACGCCGACCTCACCGTTGACATTCTTAGAATGGATTTGCGTGGAATGAAAACACGTATATAAAGGCTATGGTTTTGCTTCTAGAATTTTCCTTTCTGTCTTTCATATTAGATTGGGTTTTTATGATCAGTAATGTTGCTCAAATTACCAAAATACCTTTGATAACACCTTTGTCAATGCTAATTCATTGATATTATGGTAATTTCACTATTTACACATATCTCTCTCTTGTTTTTTTTCAAGATATAGGAGACAAGTGTGGTTGAGTACTAATTATAAATCTTTTTTTAACCATCAATGGATCCATAAAGATGCTAGATAAGTTAAAAGATGACGAGATTAAATTTTTAAAATTTTCTCACTTTTACTGCATCTTCCTAAACCCAACGTCATATTCTCAAGGAAGCATAGGCTGTTTTCAAGTGGCATTTTCATTAAAATTACACCTCTTGTTATGGCTATGTGTAATTTCCATTGTATTTCTCTTTTAATTTGGGTTTATTTTATATTTTTAGCATATTCATAAAACATTTCATCTTTAATGATAGATGCCAGATGCTAGAAGTCCTCCTAATACATCTGCAAAGCATCATCAACTCTTCAAAAGCAAGTCAACCAACACCTCCAAAAAATGATGAGCTAGTTTGCAATTTTTCATATGGATGGTTTTTGTTAGCTTCTTATATTTTGTTGGTAGACTTGATCCTGCACTACAACTTGCAAATATGATAGGTAAGTAAAATATGGAGTCTTGTAATGCTAGATGTACCTAACTTTTTAAACTTGTGAAGATTTGCACTTTTGGAATTGATATTAACGTATGTTATGTTCTAATAAGTTCATTATTTTTCTGAATATGTGATTTAAATTTAGATTCTAAACATATGACTTAATTTTGTCTACAATTATCAAATTGTTGAAATAAATATATGCCTATTTATCCTTTTGACTTTGCTTTTTTTTTTAGTAGATGAATATGAACGGCATGATGATTGTAACTTTATTAAAATTATAAGTATTATGATTTTATTAAAATT